GAAAAAAAAATAGACTATATATTTTATTTGTATATAGTTTCATCTATCATTAATTGCGAGTGTATGATTACATAATATTAATTATTTTGTAATAAAATAAATAAATAATATAATTATCTAATTAATATAAAATGTAAGTTTTCTTTATAAAAATTAGCTAAGAAAATGAGGGAGAAAAAAATATTTTTTTTGCATTAAATTTTATGTCTACAAATTCTAAAAAACATACCAAAAATCATGGATCTTTTACCTTCATGCCCATGAGTCCATGACATGAACAATTCAAAATCTCAAAAACCGAAAAACCCTCTTTATAAATTATCCACCAACGCCATTCTTCCCATTCACCTAATATTCCCCACCAAATCTCTCTCTCTCTACACCAAACCCTTACACATTTCCAGAACCTCAATTTTTTTCCTCCAATCAAACAAAAATGGCTGAACCAGAAACCAGAACACCATCGGATCTAACGGTACATATGCATTTCCCATTTTCCTCTTTATTATTTTTTTTTTTTATTATTAACAAAAATATTTACTAATTTTTCATTTTATTATTAACAAAAATATTTACTAATTTTTCATCCATTTTTACGCGATTAAACGATGAACGCTTCACATAAATCGAATGGACAAATCCATGTAAAATTCTTACCTGGTTCGATATTTTCTCTGAAGGTCGGGGAAATTGAGGAGGAGAAGACAAAGAAGCAACAACTCGAGTATCTCGATTTTGTTCGAGTTGTCGCAATTTACGTCGTCGTATGTTGCTCCACAATCTACGAATACGCAAAGGAAAACGCCGGTCCGCTTAGACCGGGCGTCCAAACAGTTGAGGGGACCGTAAAAACTGTCGTTGGGCCGGTTTGCGAGAAATTCCGCCACGTTCCCTTTCACCTTCTCACATTCGTAGATCGCAAGGTGTGCCTAATAATCTACTAATATTTATATCACGTGGTTGATTGATGAATTAATTAATTGATTTCACTTTTGAAATTTTTCAAAGTCACCATATGGATAAAATTTCCTCGGAGAAATATTAC